CTCCAGCATCTAAGAAACGCCATTCACAAGGCAGGATAAGCTAGTGTGATCACAGTGCATGAAATAACAACTACTTAGTGCATAGCTAGATGGTGGCAAGGGACAATTTCCTCAAGTTGCCAGTGACTTACACGTATCTTTTTATACTGAGTTTTACTAGGTACTTATAATTCTAAACTAAGGAATTCAGGATTCAAAATCATATCTCTTTCCTTCCAGAAAGGTTCTTGTTATATAATCCTGGCTGATTACATGCCAACTATGTAGTCCAGGCTGTCCGTGAAGTTATGGCAATCCCCCATCCCAAGCGCTGGGTTTACAACCATGTGCTATCTTGCCTGGCTAAACTTATCTCGAGAATCAGACAATTATTTTGTCATGACATAGGTTGTTCTTTTTTTATAGATTCATAAAGTTTTCGCTCAAAAGTACATAGACTTACTTCCCAAGAACTTACTATGAAATCCCCGAGTAATCACAGGATACTTTACCACCCTGTTCCGGCATGCCCGCGTGCTAACTGGCTCTGAGATAGGTACTTCGCACAGACTTTTGATTTTGAAGACCTGGAGAGGGCAAAGAACCACCTCAGTTCAGTTCAGCTGTGCTCCTTCATAATGACTGTGACCTCAGAAAGCAGTTCGTCACGAAAAGCTCGTGACTTAGTTGTTTGACCACCTCAGCAACTCACTGTATTTAAAGCAGTCAGCACGCTTTGTGTGTTCTTTGTTTACTGCATATCTCCTTCTCTCTGGCGCTGGGAGCGGAACTTAGAGACTCCCATATCCCAGGCAAGTTTTTCTCCCCTCAGTTCTGTTAGTGGGTTTCGTGATAGACAGTACACCTAAATCAAATGTGCCACCAGTGTTTACATGCTGACCGCTTGAGTGTTTCCTTTTCGCTTCTACGCTGCCAGTGTAACTTCCCATGTTTATCAATTTCTTTCTTTCTTTCTTTCTTTCTTTCTTTCTTTCTTTCTTTTTTAAAAAAACCATTTCTCTTTTATGTATATATGTGTGTGTTCCTGTATGGGACAGTGTGCAGCACTTGTGTACAGATATCCCCAGAGGCTAGAAGAGAGCATCAGGTTTCCTGGCTAGAGTTACATTACAGGCCATTGTGAGCTCTCCTGTGTGGGCGGTAGAAACCAAACAGGGGCCCTCCGCAAATGTTCTTAACTGCTGAGCCGTCTCTCCAGCCTGTTTTATCCATTTTTGTTTATGATGATGGGGTGCTGGGCCTTGCATTCTCTAAGGCTGAGCTCAAGCCTTTCCAAACAGCAGGATTTATGGTCTTCTATAAAATCCTCCACAAATGAAGAAGAACCTGACATATGAAAGAGGGATTAGAGTTAAAATAAACTCAACTTGGCGTGGCGGGTCTTCTGACAACAATAACCCCGTCTTTTAGGGCACCTGCCGACACTGTTGCAAGAGAAACTCCATAGGTCAGGGTCACCGTTATGTTTACCCTGTGTCCTAGTTGTACGCAGGGCCTGGCATGCAATAGGGGCCACTCTGTCTGTGTGTGAGAGAGGTGGGGAGGGAGTCAGAGATAGAGACAGGGATAGGGAGGCAGAGAGACACACATAGAGAGAATTAATAACATTTTACCACCTGGCACAGGTGGGAAGGAAAAAAGTTGCACATTGAGGCAGAATTCGCTGAACATTGCACAACCAGGGCTATGCTAAAATCACGCCAAGAGGTCGTTATACTCAGGCATGAAACTGTGTGCACCTTATTTATCAGAAAACTGTTTAGACATTTCCTTGAAGTCTACTGGTAGTTTTCACAACTGCAGTGAGCATTAGAATTTCCAGCTGGGTGGTGGTGGCACATGCCTTTAATCCCAGCACTTGGGAGATAGAGGCGGGAGGACCTCTGTGAATTCATCCTGGTCGACAGGAGTTAGTTCCAGGACAGTTAGGGCTGTTACACAGAGAAACCCTGTCTCGAAGAAAAAAAGGAAAAGAAAGAAAAAAAGAAAAAATTTCAGCTTCAGATTAGATATGCTATATGCTGTTTGTGAGTACACAACAGCAAATGGAACTTCTCAGAAGGAAAAGATATTACCTTGCATAACAAAGAATGGGGTTGACACCTGAATCTTCAAATCTCTATAGTCCAGTGTACCCATCTCCATGTGTGTGCATCTTCCAGTCCCCACTGTCCCGTGTACCCATCTCTATGTGTGTGCATCTTCCAGCCTTCACTGTCCTGTGTACCTGTCTCCATAAGTGTGCATCTTCCAGTCCCCACAGTCCTGTGTACCTGTCTCCATAAGTGTGCATCTTCCAGCCTCTGTCCTGTGTATGTGTATCCATATGTGTGCTCAGGTGCTTGACATTGGAAGGTGATACAAGTGAGGGAGTAAAACAGAAAAGGACAGGGTAAGTGACATCAAGATAAACAGCAGCCAGGCCCCAGAGGAAGAGTTCGCACTGCTCTGACTGCGGATAAGAAGACCAGCCTGCGGGAAGCTTCCCAAGGCTATGAAAGTGCTTTTCCCTTCCCAGTTTGAGACCTCTGTATTTTCACAGAATTACAGACTCATGGGAAGTTGTAAAGAATACTAAGAGGCCACCCATGGCTTCCCCTGTCTTGCTTTTGTCTGCTGTGATTTATGGAACAGGCAACTCTGGAGAGCTGCTTTGTTTGGATATGAGATTGCTGTTTCCTCAGTTATTCTGTGGCAATGGAAGCCCAAGGGATAGGCTCCTTAAGAGCCATTGAGAAGAAGATATGTCATTTTATAAAAGCAATAGGAATATATTTAATGTGCATAAAGCATTAGGAGATCTCAATAGATTCTGAGAAAACCTACCCTGCCATGTAGAAACGGATGCTAATGATTACAGTCATAAACTACACAATAAAGATCTGTGGGCTCTGTTAGGGAGGCCAAAACTATCAGGTGTGGAGTCCAGAGCAGAAGTTAGAAAGGATTCCAATGTTCACCGTTAGGAAATTAGTTGACTGAGTTGTCCTCTAGAATAACTTTATGCGGTCGAATTCCAAGCACACATTAAGTCATGATTTTTATGTGTGTGTACACTGCATATAGATATGTGTCTAGAGACATATATGTATGTACATTGTATCTATCTTTGTCCTTTCTTCTGCCTCTCTGACCAATACTGAGAAACAGTGAGTACTGTGGTCTGGTGCCATAGTCTGCTTACTATATTGGCTTCACTTTCTTCCAGGTGAGGAGCTCTTGCCTTTAAATATCAATCCAATGGTGATGGCTTGAGATTTACACCTCCAACGCTCTTCCTTCCCCCAACAACAGACTCTTACATTCAGTTGGCATTGTCCCACGGATTTCAAATGTTCACAACAGTATACAGACCTATTGCCTTCCAAGATCCTCTCCACTCCCAAGCATCCCTACATGAGCCAGCTTTTGCCCACCTTCTTATCTTCACTCTCTTCACCTGGCTCTAAACGATAAGATTTTTGTTCTGGTTTTTAGCACGTCAAGTTCACCCTCGCTCAGGAACTCCACCTCTGACGTTCCCTCTTCTGGGAATGTTCTTCCTTTGCTATTCTATCTCAAGTGTCCTCTCTTCGGAAAAGTCTCTCTGCTCAATACACTCAAGTGGCCTTCAGCCCTTCAGCAGCTCTCTCCAGCTCATTCTGAGTAGTATAACACATATTTTACCACCCATCTCCCCATAAGAATAGAATCTTCATGAGAGTAGTGAACCTTTCTATCTTGTTAACACCGAAAGCCAGAATATTTTTAAAGAGTTTCTGGAATACATAAAAAAAATGCCCGATTAATATTTGTGTCGAACAGGGAGCTCAGGTGTGACTTGGTAGTAGAGTGTTTGTTTGACCTGGAGAAGTAGGGCCATGTGTTCAATTCCCAGCACAGAACAAAAGATTACGCTAGATAAAGTTTGGGAGGATGCATAGCCGTTTATAGTGCAAGTGGTATAAGAGGTAAATCATGACTTTGTATTGACTTTTCTGCCAAGAAGTGTTTTAGTCTTTATTTGAAGTAAAGTACATCTTAATTACAAGTAATGATTGGTAAAGATTGTGTTCTCAAAATAAGCTCTGGCTACCTGGAAGATGAGGTACTGAGAAGTGTTCTTTTTTGATGTTTGTAGTGACATTTCATTTGTATTTTAATAGATAAAGCTTGCCTGAAGAGCAGAAAATTAAAACAGCCAGCCACTGACTCTTACCTCAACCTCTGTCTGAAAATGGTGATCCTGCCTCCAGGAAAGCTCAGATTGAGACTGACACTGAGAGCTGTGGCTGCTGGGATTGAAGGTATGTTTCATTGCTGCCTGGTCTGTAAGGCCGGCCAGGGTGGCTGTTTTACTTTTCTGATCTGTAGACAAGCTTTAGTTATTAAAATCCAAATGAAATGCCACTAGAGATGACGGCAGGTAAGTAACACGTCCTAGTCCACACAAAACACCTGTGGGTTTGTAAAAACACCAAGCAAATAAACAAGAAAATTGTCACACCCAGTTCTCATTCTTTTGGACTGGTATATTCCTGGAAAATTATCTAAATTAATTTCCCCGCAAGGGAACAACATAAACAACCACTATCATGAGGAAAAGCTTCTGCTTGTTTCAGTTTCCATCACACTCGGTGTCTTCAACAGATGTGCACATCTGTAGTGTGCTTATGTCTGCCTTTTTCCACATGCAGAAGCATGATATTAGCCGTGTCTCTGGGCCTGAATGTTATGTCAGCACACGAGGGACAGACCTCCAGCTTATCGAGTATTGCAGCGCTCTGCTTGTTTTGGAGCCTCTTCTGATACTGTGGACTTAGTTCAAGGCCCGGTGATACTATTTTTTCTGTTTTCTAGTAGGAGGACAAATAGTCAGTTATTTGCTTTGGTCACCGAAGTTCAAGCTATTGGATCATGGTCCTATGCATATAAAAAGTCTAGGTTGAGCCTCTGCTCAGGGGCAGTCTTACCTGGCTAAGCACAGACTCTCCCCTTGGGACTTTTTCCTGCTTTGCAAAATGATGACCATCTCTTTGATTTGGGGGCTTGCTGTGGTGTGCGGCATATGGGTTATCTTTGGCATAAGGAGAAGGTATGGAAAGGATTTTTCTTTAATTTTCTTTTTAGCTTATTTCTAGCATTCTTTACCTTTACTGTTACACAGTTTTTAAAAATAATACTAGTTCATTAGTATCTTTTATTTCAAAATTAAGGCCTGATTTCTTTGGCTAACCCTGAAAAGATGTAGACAGTTTCCTTTTGAATATTCGTATACATCGATGGTGATGCAGATCTTGTTAGACATAACTAAAAAAACATATAAATGCATGTTTGTGTGTGCATGGGCGGAGCAAACCTGAGCCGGGAAGGGTGCATTGGCAAGGGTGAAATCTGGAAGCTTCTTTCTATCACACGGACTGAATAGCTGCACTTGCTGAGCAGGTGTGCATTTGGACTTTCTGTTACATCAGCATTAAAATACAGGAATACCCCTGGCACATCTTCAGCGAAGTAGACTGCTGTCTGCTCTCTTACTTTTAAAAACTTCTTTGCCCTTTGAGCTGTTTTAATTCATGCCTGATAGTTTCCAGTTTTAATTAAGCAGCTTATCTTAAGGCTAAGACAGGAAAAATCAATTTAGTTATCCTAACAAAAAACAACTAGCTTTTGTTGGAAAATAATTAAGTTTTTAGTATCTAATAAAACACTTTTAAGAGAGCTGGGCGGTGGTGGTGCACGCCTTTAATCCCAGCACTTGGGAGGCAGAGGCAAGAGGATCTCTGTGAGTTCAAGGCCAGCACGGTCTACCAGAGCTAGTTCCAGGACAGGCTCCAAAGCTTCAGAAAAACCCTGTCTCGAAAAATCAAACCAAACTAAACCAAAATAAAATATTTAAGAGAGCTAAAGATTAGTGAATTATAACTGATGATCTACCAATGCTTATCCCTCCCAACTTGATTTTTATAATAATCTAATTTTTCAAATGGAATTCCTGATCTCTTCAAATATCATCACAGAATGATAATCTCCTTCTTTTCACAATTGGGAATCAAATGGAAGGTTCCATGTGTGCTAGGCAAGAGCTCTACCACTGAGCCGCACCTCCAGACACCAGAATGCCAGCATTTTTAAACTATGAAGATTTTAAAAACTTCAGCCCTGTAGCCTTTTCTGTTATCTGGGGTTTCACATCTTTAACAAACAGGAAAAAAATGAAACATTTTAGACATTTGGGCAAATGATTCATTGAGCAGGTCTAAGCACTAGATGGTAGCTTCATTTTTACAGTGAGATCAAGAATCTTGTTGGCTTTGTGGACACTTTTGGCTCTGTGTTGGGAAAAGCAGTCAGACATAGACATAGTAAACCATCTAAGGAGGACTTGATGAGTGGACGTATGTATGTGTGGTGGTAGACAGACCGAGAGATGGGCTGGCAGATGGATTGATGGGTAGGCAGCTTTGATAATCACCTTCACCAATATCTTAGTAGGCTAAAAAGCCCATTGTTTTAGTAAAAGAGGTATCTGCAAACTGTAGTTACAAAGCTTGAAATTATTGGTAAAAACCAGTAAAAACCTGGTTTTCATAAAAATGTTAACCATGTCATTTTTCAAACCTCTCAAATCTGCCTTACAGGAAAGCAGGTGAACCTCCTCTGGAGAACGGGTTGATCCCGTACCTGGGCTGTGCTCTGAAATTTGGGTCCAATCCTCTCGAGTTCCTGAGAGCAAATCAAAGGAAGCACGGCCATGTTTTTACCTGCAAACTAATGGGGAGATACGTCCACTTTGTCACCAACTCCTCGTCATACCCCAAGGTGTTAAGTCATGGAAAATATTTTGATTGGAAAAAATTCCATTACACGACTTCTGCGAAGGTAACTAGTTTATACAGATTCTCTTTGTTTCCTAACCTGCTAATGTATTTGTTTATTTAGTTATTCTGATGTTATAGATTGTAGGACAGAGGGAACATACAATCAGGAAGTCTCAGTACTAAGTATTAAAAATTCAAGGTAGATGTAAATTTGTCATTAATGATGACATATACAAATTGATCACTTTGTAAGCACTTTGTGAGCCAGATGACACTGCATATGAATAAGGAAGGTACAGACTGCTAAGATCAATTTGTCTATACAACACGCAGAATAGAGTGCTGGCAAACTTAACATTCATCATGCCTATTACCACATCCATGCCCACAAATGCTGCGATCATTAAGAAGCATCATTTAGATATTATCAAGAATCTCTGTTCTAGAGAAAGCAACACTACTGAATTTTTGAAATAAAATATTAGACATATCTGTCATTAAGTAAATTAAATGCATTTACAGAGACTAAAAAGGTAAAGATAAAATGAGTATCACATTAGTTTGACATCAAAGTTGGTGGGACAGTCTAGAGAACGTCCCTGAAAAGCTGGGGTCTAAACTCCCCCCTAAAGAAAGAGTATGTCCTGGCCTGCCTTTCGATGTGCTGTGAAATAATCTATGGGAAACCCAGGCGGAGGGGTATGAACACCTTCAATCTGTCTTTCAGTCGTCTCCTATCCCTGGCAAGCTCAGGTTCAGCCCCTCTTCCTTTCATGGCTTTTCTTTTCTGCCAGGCATTTGGACACAGAAGCATTGACCCAAGTGATGGAAATACCACGGAAAACATAAACAACACTTTTGCCAAAACCCTCCAGGGAGACGCTTTGCACTCACTCTCTGAAGTCATGATGCAAAACCTCCAATTGATCTTGAGGCCTCCTGGCCTTCCTAAATCAGAGAGTTCTGTCTGGGTCACCGAAGGGATGTATGCCTTCTGCTACCGAGTGATGTTTGAAGCCGGATATCTAACTCTGTTTGGCAGAGATACTTCAAAGCCAGACGCACAAAAAGCTCTTATTCTCAACAACCTTGACAACTTCAAGCAATTTGACCAAGTTTTTCCCGCGCTGGTGGCAGGCCTCCCTATTCGCTTGTTCAGGATGGCACATAAGGCCCGGGAAAAACTGGCTGAGGGCTTGAAGCATAAGAACCTCTCTAAGAGGGAACAGGTCTCTGAACTGATCAGTCTGCGCATGTTTCTCAATGACACTCTCTCCACCTTTGACGACGCAGAAAAGGCCAAGACGCACCTCGCTATCCTCTGGGCATCTCAAGCAAACACCATTCCTGCAACCTTCTGGAGCCTGTTTCAGATGATCAGGTGACTAGCAATTTAAGTGTTTTCATTACTCAAAGGGACGTTAATTACAATTTTAACTAAGAGCCCCCAAAGACTAGCGGAGCTTTCTTTGCTATCGGTCAGGAGTGTGATACTCAGTGCTCCTGTTAACATGTGCGTAACAGAAGCAGCATTTTGTAGGAATACAGTCCCACGGAAAAAGATGTCCCAGAAGCCACAGAACTTGGATGGCTGGCACTTGTCAATACAGGCCCCCTGGTCCAGTCTTGCTCTTAATCTCATAGTGTTCATCTTAATGTCAAATTAAATCCATGACTGCAATCTTCATCGTGATAAAAGCATTTTAAATGATGACAGGCTTGCAGACGTGATGAGGGCAGAGATTATGCCTTACTAATTTTGAACATCCCTATTTTCACATCAATTTCAAATCATCTGTGAACTGCGGCCATATTTTAAGTTAAACGACTACTGTTGACCCAGCATTCCCCAGGCTCAGTTTATTGTAATCAGGTGAAGGAGATTTCAAACGGCCTCCAGCAAACTTCCACGTATTGAATGGAAGTATCCTTTATCAGCTCAAAGATAACAACATAAATGGCAAAACATTAATGTTCTGAAGCCATTTTAAGAGCAATTTGAAATTCTACTTGGCAGCTAATTGTAATTGTATGTTAGATGCAATATTTCTTCTGAATTACTATAGTCATCGCATGAATGTCTCGCCCTTACTAGAGCCACTGATTTATAGAGAGCTCACCAAAGCTTTGCGTTTACATAGCAACGCCCCTTTAATGCCCCTTCCTGAGTCCCAGGGCATGAATCTGTTCAGAATCCAGTACAAGTAAAGGGCAATGCCCCTTTGCTTACTCATGAAAAGAAAAGGAGTTCTTACCTCCTTGCTGATCTCTGAATGATTTCCATACGTCTCTTTTCACAGGAGTCCTGACGCACTGAAAGCAGCCTCTGAAGAAGTGAACGGAGCATTGCAGAGCGCTGGCCAAAAGCCCAGCTGTGAACGGAATGCTATTTATTTGGATCAAATGCAGCTGAACGACCTGCCGGTCCTAGGTGTGCTTCCCACCCTACCCCTCATTCACGTGTCACCGGTGACAGTGCTCACCACACACTGTATTATGTTCTCAATACTACGCCAAGTATCTTACAACCCCACAACTGTCTGCTAACTAGGGAATTTGCACTTTTATCTAACAAGTGAGGAATTGAGACCCATAGGGTGGGATGACAACTGGATCACAGACAGTGGCAACACGGGCATGGGACTTGTGATACTCAGCTGCTCCACGTCCTTTTGCCTCCTTGTAGGTCCCCCAAAACCATAAAGTCGGGGTTTTTAAGAAAGTATGGAACTAAATGTAAAAAAGTTACCATCAAGAAAGCATGATTGGCTCGTGGGATGGGGCCGAGGCTTTTCTTTCCCCGTCTCTGTATTTTCTAGAATACAGAAGTGCCGCGTGTTTATAAGAAAACAACTTCTTTTTAAGTCCTCTTCTGTAAAGGACAGAAGCCTGTGTGTACTTGGAGGGCAATTTAGCTTCTCTGAAGCGAAAGAGCTTAGATCCAGCACTGCCTGGCTTGCGGGGGGGGGGGGGGGGCGGTTGTCACTTTGCTTTGGACACCTCCCTTCTCTCACTCGTAAAGAAAAGGCTAAGCATGTGTGGTTGCAGACACAATTGTGGCGTGAAGCCTGGGAGCAAGGCAGCTGGCAGCTGGAGGCGGAAAGGCACAGGGAAACTCTCTGAGACTTCAGCAGCTCTGAGGTCTATTCCGTTTTTGCACTCCTTTACCTAGAAGCAGGGTGCCATTGCACACCACCCGATAATGTATGGGATCTCCTAAGCACGGAGTGGTAGACTCATGAAATGCTTGGAAAGGCATTTCTCTATCAAGATGTTTCATTCCCAAGAGGGTCAACAATAATTCACATAAAATTGATTACTAGTTTTTTCAACTTTATTAGCTGCTTAGGGTCCTACAGAAATAAGATTAGCGTTCTATAAAATGAGAGATGTTTATCTAGTTCCCATTGATGGTGAGGAACATTGTATTGTATCAAAAGACTATTAACTTGGATCAATGGTTCTTAACCTTTCTAATGTTGCAACTCTTTAGTCCAGTTCCTCATGTTGTGGTGACCCCCCAATCATAAAATTATTTTCATTGCTACTTCATAACTGTAATTTTGCTATTGTTATGAATAATAATGTAAATATCTGTGTTTTCTGATCGTCGTAGGTGACCCCTGTGAAAGGGTCATTCAACAACCCCCCAAATGGGTCATGACCCACAGGGTGAGAACCAATGGCTTCGATGCTTAGATTGAAAATATATTTCAGAACAGCTGAGTCACGAAGAACAGCGCAGTGGCAACAGAAGCAGCTTAGGAAGCTTTCACTTGTTAGCCTGCATTTGTTCATTTTGTATATAGATCGGCAGAAGGGTTTCAGACTTCATGTTATGTAGCCTTTAAATGCATAAATCCAGGGCTGGAGAGATGGCCCAGTGGTTAAGAACACTTGCTGCCTTTTCAGAAGGTTTGACTCACAGCACCCACATGGTGACTCACAACCATCCTAAGTCCAGTTCCAAAGGATCTGATGCCTTCTTCTAACCTCTGTAGACATCAGGCATCTGCACGTTGCACACACACGTACTTGCGGCAAAACACCCATCAACGTAAAAATAGATTAACTTGGAAATATTTTTAATATGTAAATTCTTCTCTCCCTCCCTGTCATTTTCCCTGTTCCACCCTCTTCCCTTCCCTCCTCTTTTGCTCTTTTATTTGACAATATGTAGATAGCATCATCAAAGAGGCGCTGAGACTGTCTAGTGCGTCCTTGAATATCCGGACTGCTAAGGAGGATTTCACTCTACACCTAGAAGACGGTTCCTATAGCATCCGAAAAGATGACATCATAGCTCTTTACCCACAGCTAATGCATTTGGATCCTGAAATCTATCCAGATCCTCTGGTAAGTTTCTATATTGAGATGACAGCCACCCAGGTCTGAATGAGGAATGGATTTGCAATTCCAGCTTTGATTTGCTCATTGAAGCCATAGGGATTGTCCCCTTTATTATAGCAAAGACTCATTTGTTTTGGAAACTTTGGGGAGAGAAAGAGTTTTGAACTTTTAGTCTGAAGAGTTTTCATGCTTACTGCTACATTATGTTTTTAGCCATAGCAAAACTACCACCTTTCTTTTTCCTTAAAAAGGACCCTCTCCAAAATCCACACTGATGGAGGGTAATGCATTTGACTTGATTCTTTTATCTTTTTCGAATCCTTTGCTTCTTTTGCCTAACTAAAGAATGAGTGCCCAGGCAGAACAGAAGGGATCTAGAGCTTCTGAGCCACCAACTCTTGATAAGGTCTTTCCAGGATTACCTGATCAGGGCTGGGTGTGTGTTAACTCACAGAGGACAGAGTTATTAGAAGAAAATTACTCTTTAGCCAAGAATGAGACAAATTTCTATCAAAATAGCTCATTGGCTTCTTGTGTACTTATTGTAGACTTTTAAATATGACCGATACCTTGACGAGAACGGGAAGGCAAAGACCTCCTTCTACAGCAATGGGAACAAACTGAAGTGTTTCTACATGCCATTTGGATCTGGAGCTACAATATGCCCTGGAAGACTATTTGCTGTCCAAGAGATCAAGCAATTTTTGATTCTGATGCTTTCATGCTTTGAACTGGAACTTGTAGAGAGTCCTGTCCAGTGTCCCCCTCTCGATCAGTCCAGGGCAGGCTTGGGAATTCTGCCACCATTACATGATATTGAGTTTAAATACAAACTGAAACATTTGTGACCTGTGGTTGGAAGAAGAGGACCCTGGATGATGTTACTGGACTGTAGAGAGTCTCACTAAACAAGCCCTTGGGACAAATACTCACCGATGCTTCCCAGGGACTGACTGTATCTGTGAAAAGAACTGGTACTCAGGGTACCATTCTCTGTTCTTGCTGCCTGGTTTCTGAGTGCTCAGATAGCTGAGGCCTGAGTTTCATCACTCTCAGAAGCAATGTCTTTTGTTTTTATTTTCAAAATGAAGATATTACAATTAGCAGGATTTTTCCTAAGGAAATTGCATATTTAATAATTTCATAAAATATATTTTTATGAAAACTATTGATTAATTATGAAAAGGCTTCAAATTCACGTTTTAGTGAAATTGTTATTTTTCACGAGTAGGTTCTTCAGGTGTGAGCACATATTATAAAAAGGTTTTAAGGGATCACAGCATACTTTGCTTAAAGAAAAAAAAAGATTATCTAGCCTTTTCTTTTTTTTTTAAATTTATTTATTTATTAAGGATTTCTGCCTCGTCCCCGCAACCGCTTCCCATTTCCCTCCCCCTCCCCCGATCAAGTCCCCCTCCCTCATCTGCTCGAAGAGCAATCAGTGTTCCCTGACCTGTGGGAAGCCCAAGGACTGCCCACCTCTATCCAGGTCTCGTAAGGTGAGCATCCAAACTGCCTAGGCTCCCACACAGCCAGTACATGCAGTAGGATCAAAAACCCACTGCAATTGTTCTTGAATTCTCAGTATTCCTCATTGTCCGCTATGTTCAGCTAGCCTTTTCTATGCCTAACGGTGAGAGCTTGGACAGCAATGCTACCGTCCTGGAAACACTGTGGGAAGTATAACACTTTCCTGTTATGTTTCAAGAGGTTGTTGCTGGAAATCCTCATTCTGGTTTTTCAACTGCCTATCTCTCTTCTATTTTCATCATTTACATCAATGAGAAGAGCGATTCTCAGAGATTAAAAAGCACTTCCCCAGCATCCACCGCTGATTCCTTTATATTTCCTCAGAACCTCACCTCTGTCACCCTTAAGCCTTTCCAGCACTGGAGAGGCAGAGGAGGCAGAGGCAGACAGATTTCTGGGAGTTTGAGATCAGCCTGGTTCACAGAGTGAGTTCCAGGTAAGCCAGGGCTACAGAATGATACCTTGTCTCACTAAAAAAATAAATAAATAATATAATTAATAAAGTCAATTTTATGTTATAATTGATTAAGAATTAATGTAAAAGAGAAATTTAAAATCAACTCTAAGGAAATGACCATTCAAAATGGTCTATTTTAGCTATTTAACTAAAATGTGCAAATTGATATTATATGCTCTTTTAAAATGTCATGTTTTATCTCTAAATGCCTTCTAGATGAAGAACAACAATAGTGTTTAAATACCCAGTGCAATAACGCATTGTAATGTTCTTTAAGAGTATTATTAGCTGTGCCATTTTTACTGACATACATACATATATTTATATACAAATTATATTTATCTTTTTTCTTGTACTATAACTGTAAGAAAATATTGTAACATCTAGTAATTTAAAAACTACCCACCTTTCAGAATTGTACATATGTTTTTGTTTTAAACTTTGCAAGAGAAAGTTTAAATTATTCATCTACTGATAAGTTAAAATAATTTTATCTGGTTTATTTAAAATATTCATAATTTCAAGAAACCCAAAATTTTCAAAGTAATCATTTACTTAAAAGTCTCCCCAGGATTACAGAAAATCCAATGAAATGTTTTTGTGTGGGGGACTGAGCCGTGGTCCAGTGGATGCTCAGCAGGTGCTCCAATAGTGAGCTGCATCTGTAAGACTCCGAGAACTTTTAAAATCTTATCACTAAACATTAGCTTGGAGCTATTACCTAGGCAGGATATTTTCCTTTCCTTTACATTTGACAGAGTCCAACAGCGAGGCCGCTGGCTGGAGCTCTCCGCATAGCTTGAGCAGGCTTAGGTCTCACTCAACTCTTGCCTTTCCCTTTCTAGGAAGTTATTTTCCATATCAAGAAAATTAAATTCTTTAGGTGAGGCATAGGAATAACAAAATTCTGTTATATACTAATCTACATTAAATTGAATTTCTAATGTGTTTTTCAAGTAACTTTGATGAGTCCTTGAATTGAATGCACCTTTATACCTTTCCATGGCTTTTCAAGAGAGTGTTTTTCGTGCACAAAATGATGGGTGTCATAGTGATGTCTTGGTTCCAGGTCTTTAGTCCTGTGCAGTGACGGCTGACAATTGGTAGCCGATGAACCAAAGGTACTCTTCCTGCTTTTGTGTGGCCTAAGTGTTAAGAATGTTTTTACATTTTAAATGCTTAGAAGAAAAGCAAAAGACCATTTTGTGTCATATATGAAGTATGTAAAATGCAGACTGGCACACCAATGAGTAAAGTTTTATTGGGATATCATATGCCTACTTCTTTGCATTATGTGTGATTCCTTTCTTGGTGTGTGCATGTGTGTGTGTGTGTATGTGTGGAGGCATGCGTGTGGTGAAGGCATGTACACATATGTGTGCAAGTGTGTGACCGCCAGAGATGGATGTTGAGTGTTTTTCTTGTTGCTCCCCACCTTATATGAGGCAGAGTTCCTCCCTTGAACCAGAGTTCAATGTGTAGGTTAGCATAATTAGCCAACTACCCCAGAGCCCATCTCTGCCTCCTGAGCACTGAGCACCTGATTTGCCGGTGGTAACCACACCCTCTTGGCATTTACATGGGTGCCAGTTTGTCTGTTGGTGCTTTGCCTACTGGTCTAGTGTCTATAGCTTCTTTTTTTTAATTTTTATTTATTTATTATATTATCTGTATAGCATTCCTTCCACATGTGCCTGCAAACCAGAATAGGGTGCCAGGTCTCATTACAGATGGCTGTAAGCCACCATGTGGTTGCTGGGAATTGAACTCAGGACCTCTGGAAGAGCAGTCAGTGCTCTTAACCTCTGAGCCATCTCATAGCTTCTTGGTGTGAAGCTGAAAAGCCAGGAAGCTGCAGCAGAGACAAGAAGGACAGAGAACTTGGCACTTCAAAAATCAGTTTCTTCATAGAAAAAAAAACAAACAAAAACAACAACAAAACAAGATAAACATCGAAAAAAAAAGAACAAAGACAAAAACCCCCAAGTATTTACCAGCTCTAACTGTATAACAAACCCCTATCTGCTAATTTTAATTTATTAACTTAAAAATGTGCCAGTGTTGGGAAAAATTTAAAGAACATGAGGGAACTCATTTAAAAAACTGTGGATACAGTTTATATCCTAATTTAAGAACTAAACTACACTATTCAATTTAGAGAAAAATTTTTATTTGACAAAGGTATCTACATTAAAAATAATTCTATAATTGAATATGTATGTGTTAAAATATCATAATAAATCCTATTTTATACCAACTAAATATAATTAATAATGATATTATGATAGCCTAATATAAGGCAAAATGGGCAAGAGAAAAAGCAACGTGAAGCTTTCTGAGGTCTCCTGGGATCCAGTGTAGATTCCACCTGTGTACATGACATGTGACATCTCAGTCTCCACACTGAGGCTCAGGTTCCTGTCCCCTCTATGTTTCAACGAGAGAAGGAGACTTTGGGAAGAAAAGTCATTGGTCCTCTGTCCCAGTGTAATGTACAAATGGCAGAGCTGTGGGAGTTAGAACCCAGCTTGCTCTGCTTCAGAGTCAAGATCTGCAGGAGGCCCAGATGGCAGACTGTCTTAATTCCTATCAGTGAAAAGATAAGCCACAATAAGCACAGTCTCTGAGGCCTTTCTTGTCCCCAGGTCTCCACTGGCAGGGAACATCACTCAGTCAGAGAGTATGGGCCCTCCAGCCTAGACTTAGCTGGTCAAAGGGGCCAGGGAGACTGTGAGGGCTCTGAGAACCAAGACAGGCTTCCACAAATCAACTTTGTCTTATCCTCACCTCACCTCAGACAATAAGGTGTCTCTTCGACCACTCACAGAACAGCATGAGTGGATTCTTGTGCCGTCTTGTGATGCTCTTGGGGTTGTGGTTATACGTCTTGAAGGCAGGAAAATTGAAGCTCTAGCTTTGGTCTCAGCAATGGATGGCATTTGTAATGGAGCTTCCCTCCAGAGCTTTCTCCATCCATACGAATTGTTAGCGATTCCTTCCCACTCTATCGTGAGACGGCAGCAGGGCAACTTTTGAGACCTTTTCAGCCATCCACAGTCATGTAGTTCAGATCTCACCTTAGTTAGAAGCTGCTGTTCAGTGAACAGAAAAGTGATTTTGCTTAAAAATTTTCATAGTGCAAAAATAGGGCATGTGGGGCTCTCAGAACCACGTAGTAGCCCATGACATGGTATTTGCACTGATCTAACTGTGCATTGCCCATTATGTGCCTGCCCTGAAATCTATGGAAAAAATCAAATAATTAGAAACAAATAGTGCCTAGAATTTTTCCATTATTGCACTTACATAAAAGCTTTTGCCTTTGGTGTAGGGTATCAGATTCAGGGCCTCACTTACAATAAACAAGCGCTTTATCACTGGGGTCCACTACCAGTCCCAAATGCTCATTTTTGCTGTAGTAAGGAAGAAGACACAGTCTACGGTGTCAACTTCATTTCAAAGAGCCTTTTCTCATTCAGTGCTATCTAGTAAGCAGTAGTAAACTGATTAAAACGTGGCCTGGACAACAGTTATCGTAGATCAAGCAAGTGGCCTTTAGACTCAAGCACACTTTTGTGAATTTGATAGAGAAAATTAACTTTGGGAAAAAGTTAAGAGAACACAATGAGCCTCCACCTGGATCTAGTTTGACACTAATCGTTTGTGTTTCTTTTTCTTTTTTCTTTCGGTCATGCTTTTTTTTTTTCCCACTCAGATGGTTTGAAAAGTGATGAGGGTGAGGTTTTCTTTGATGATTTTTGTGATTTCAAGTTCCCAATTTGTCATTCTGAGTCTGGCTTCTTGGATCATTTGGAGCAATCAGTGGTGTGGAGCTCTCAAGGATGTTGGTGGGTTTGACTATTTCCCACCTACATCAACATGATGTTGAAGCACAGCCCTCTGCTCCTCTGCCAAGAGAAGCAGTGAAATTCATTTAATTCAGATGGATTGGAACATTGTCTTACCAGCTTGAAACAAATAGTGGATGGGGAGTGTGTGTGTGTGTGTGTGTGTGTGTGTGTGTGTGTGTGCACATGTATATGTTTTGTATGCTTATATAACAGAAAGAATGGGCAATATTCTGTTGAACAATTTTGAGAAATGCTGTGGGATAATGCTCTTGTGCACTGTAAAAATTTGTCACTCATATGGTTCAATAAGACACTGATTGGCTAGTAGCCAGGAAGTATAGGTGTGGCTAGCAAACTAGGAGAATTCTGAGAAGAGGAAGGGCAGAGATGCAGTCACCAGCCAGACACGGATGAAGCAAGATGAGAATTCCTCACTGAGAAAAGGTACCAAGCATAGACATAGATAAGAATTATGGGTTAATTTAAGTTGTAAGAGCTAGTTAGTAATAAGTCTGAGTAATAGGTCAAACAGTTTATAATTAATATAAGCCTCTGTATGTTTATTTGGGA